CGGCGGCCGCCGGGGATGCGCTGCAGGGCAGAGGGACACCGGTGGCCGCCGCTCACCCCGCTCGCAGGAGGGCAGGTCGCCGCTCCACGTCAGGTCCCAGTGGCACATCAGGAGGTCGGTACCAGCCAGCTGGAAGCCAGGGTAGCAATGGTAGGTGACCACGGTGCCATGGAGCAGCTCCGGCTGCGAGGACGTCTTCCAGCCATTGGCAATGTCCGGCAGCTCAGGGCAGGTGTCGTTACGGGGGACCTCTGTGGGGACGGTGGGGTGAGCAGGGTGGCAGAGACACTGGGGACACCGGGGATGCCATCCCACTGTGGGGCTCACCAGAGAAGTGGATGACAAAGCCTTGCCGATAGGCACCAGCACCGGCACCAGGGTCGGACTGGAACTGGACGGTGACATCAGCGGTGGAGGCGTAGAGCTTGAAGCGACCGCGGGTGCCCGTGTACTGGCCCAGGATTCGTGCCGTCAGGTCGTCCCCATCATAGAAGGTCAGCATGTCCCCCGTGCCCAACCGCAGCCTGGGGTGGCAGGGCCATGAGGATGGGGGGGTACACAGACCCCATCCTGTTCCCCCGACCCCAGTGGCCCCTGCACTCACACACGGACGTCCAGCATGACGCGTTTGTCTTCCTCCACGTGCAGCCCCCAGATGCAGTCCTGGCCCTTGCCGTACGCCTCCGGCCAGTTGGGTGACAGCACCACACCGGCCGCATCCGTCAGCTCCCCGCTGCACACCGCTGTGGGTGCACACTGGGCTCGGCACTGCCATGGGGACACCCGCCACAGCACCCACCACCCAGTGTCCAGCACCCACTGCAGCCCCCCTGCTCCAGCACCCACCATCCATGTTGGCTCCGTCTCAAGCACGCATCATGGCATGGTGGGTCCAGCATCCGTGACAGCCAGTCCCTGTCTTCAGCACCCACAGCAACCCCCAGCACCCACTGCAGCACCCCAGCTCCAGCACCCACCATTCCCGTTGGCTCCAGCTCATACCGTGTCCCTCTGCTCCAGCATGCACCACTGCATGGTGGCTCCAGCATCCATCGTGGCCCATCCCCAGCTCTGGCATCCACAGCAACCCCGTCTCCATGGCACCCCCCAACTCTGGTACCCGTGAACACCCAGCTCCAGCCCCCTGGCCCCCCAGCCCCGGCGCCCACCACGACACGCCGGCTCCGTCTCGTTCCACTGCGGGTCGCTGGGGTCAACGCACTCGATGATGGTGGAGCCCTGCTCTAGCGTGTAGCCAGGATCACAGCTGAACTCCACCGTGGTGCCCACGGGGTACCGGGGGTCACTGGCCGTGAAGTTCCCATACTTGACAAAGGGCTCATAGCAATGCCCCTGCTCGAAGGCTGTGGGCACAGGAGTGAAGGTCCACAGGGGCCAGGTGGGTGCAGGGATGCCCAGGTGCCCCCCTCTGCCCCAGCCCCGTACCCTCATAGCGCAGCGCCATGCCTGCAGCGGCCCCGCTGCTGTCGGTGGTGAGCTCCACGAAGAAGTGGCGCCCGGTGCTAAGCAGCCCCTCGATGGGCAGGTACTCCACCTCGTAGGAGTCGTACACTGGTGGTGTCTCCACGTTGTTGCCATTGCGGATGATGAGCCTGCCGAGGCATGGCGGGGGCAGGGTGCTGTGCTGACCATGACCAGCAGCACCCCTCCTTGGGCATGGACAGTAACACCCAGCCCCAGCCATGGCCACCTACCCTTGAACATGAATAATAGCACCCACTCTTGGGCACGGCCAATGGTATCTTCCTTGAACATGGCCAACAGCACCTATCCTTGACCGCGGCCAATGGCCAACAGTGCCCACACTTGGGCATGGCCAACCACCAATCCTTGAACATGGCCAATGGCATGTATCCATGAGTATGACCAATGATGCCCATCCTTGAATATGGCCAATGGCACCCATCCTACAATGTGGTCAACAGCACCCATCCTTGAATGTCACTCAACCCCATCCTTGAACTTGGCCCTGTGCCTGGTGTGGAGCTGCCCCAGGGTACCTCCCCACCATTCCCCTTGCCCTGTAGCCAAACCTGTCGTCATCCTCTGCCAGCGAGACCTTCTCAAAGTGGAGGTGCAGTCGGTGGCCAGAGGGCGCCTCCAGCAGCCAGTGGCACGTCAGGTTGTTGCTGTAGTTCCCGGGGAAGCCAGGCGAGACGATGCGTCCCACTGTGGCATTCCGGACCACCCCACCACATGCCGCTGCAGGAGAGGGACCATCAGTGGCCGGCTGTGCCATGTCAGCTGCGCCATGTCTCCCCGGGTGCTGGTGCTTACCGAGGCAGAGGGGCTCGCGGGCGCTCCAGAAGGGGCGGGTGGCATTGCGGCAAGTGAGCCGACGGGCGCCGTGCAGCTGGTAGCCGGCGGCACAGCGGAAGCGGGCGTCCCCGCTGGGGTGCAGGCTGCTGACCGAGACCTCCCCAAAAGCCGGCCGCGCCGGGAAGCCCCCCCAGGACCCCAGCCCACCCTGCACCCAGCACCCACCTCCCCAGGCCCCCCGGGAGTGCCTGGGTGCTGCAGGGCTGAGTGACAGGAGCCTATGGCTGCTGGTAATGATGCTAAATGAGGCTGTAATTGCTCATGCCAATTAGCTCTCCATTAGCATTCTTCCCCGGGTCGGTGCCCGCTTAACCTGCCAGTGGCACAGATAAACTCTGCCGTGCATCGCCACGCTCCAAATTACCACCATGCTGGCAAGGGAGCCCTCGAGGGGGTACCAGGGGGTCCGTGCCAGCGGTGGACACTGCCCCATACCTTGGTAGTGGAAGCAGTAGGAGCCAGGGCTGGGGGGCCGGGGGCTCTGGAAGCGGAGGGTGAGGAGGTTGGCGGGGCTGCGGATGACCTGGCCCCGCAGCAGGAAGGACTCGTTGGCCAGGAGGGTGGGCTCCAGGCCCCCTGTGCTCTCCACCATCAGTGTCTCCCCGTCTGCCAGGCTGATGTTCTGGACCTGTGGGGCATGGCCAGGCATCACCGCCCCGGCATCGCCCCGGCACCCGGCTCGGAGCCGGACCTCAGGCAGCTTGCCCACAGCCGATAGCGCGCTGGAGCTCGTCTGCGTGGGGCAGCGCCTCTCAAACACGGTTGGCAGCACCATAAACCATCCTGCGGTAAGAGGAGCAGCAGGGCCCAGCCAGCGGTTCCACCGGAGCACTGAGGCACAGCCGGGCCCACGCCGACAGCCAGCCCTCCAGAGCAATTTGCTATTAATGATGTTAATTAAGCAGTGCTGCACGGCAACGAGCAGCAGCACTGGCAAGTATTTCTGTGCGAGCTGGAGGAGCGAGGGCTGACCGCAGAGCTGCTCACCGCCAGCTTTTGACAAGCCACGGCACTGCCCCATGGTGGCCCAGGCGGTGGGGCCAAGCAGAGGTGGGGACACACAGCCACGTGCCGTGGATGGGAGCAGCACATGGCCTCGGCACTGCAGGAGCTGCTGCCAGCCTCTGTTCCTGGCAGGTGTGTGCTGGGTTTTCCTGGCTCTGCACCACGGCGTCACACCCGCCAGCGTTGCTTATGCCTTCCCCATCGGTGCTTCGGTAATTAATTCCCACATCACCCCTTCCATGACGGGTGCCACCCACTGCAGCCAGTGGCCATGGGAATCCCACCAGCCCACATGCCGGCATCCGTGCCCCAGGGCCCGAGGCTGGGTGATGTCCTGAGCTGTCTCTCCTGGCTTGGGGACGTGGGGACAGGGACGAGGACAGGCACAGGATGCTGCACCGTGCATGGCCATGCAGCCATGGCACAGAGCAGGGGACAGGCCACGCTTGGCTGTGGGCACTGGGCACCCCATCCCACCCGCAGCCCCCAGCTCACCTTGAGCTCCACGCCGTAGCCAGGGTAGACAGAGACGGTGTAGGTGCAGTCCAGGCTGCCATCATAGGGGACCCCAGCTGGTTCCGGGGACACCAGCCAGCCCTCAGGGCCCGCTAGTGTCCGGTTGCAGGGGACTGGCGACAGAGGAGACACCAGCTCAGCCCCACTTCACCCCAACTCCCCCCAGCTCCCTCCCCAGTGCTCACCTGGCCCCTGCAGCGTGGTGACAGTGGTGGTGGTGATGGTGGAGGTGGTGGTGGTCCCCTCCTCATCCCCAGGGAACACGGCAGCCCCGGTGTGGGGTTCCAGGGACGTGCCAGCGGTGGTGGGTGCCTGGCTGGGGGACGCGGGGCCTGACTCCAACACCCCAGTGGGGGACCACGAGGGGTCGGCACCTGGCATGGCCCCCCATGCCTCCCCCCATGGCCCTGGGCGCCCTGCCGGGGTGGTCAGCGGGTCGGTGGGGAAGGCAGCTCTGGGCAGGGCAGGGGTGCGTGGCGGGGGCTCAGGGGCCGGGGGTCCGGGGTCTGGCTGGAGGGCACTGGCAGGCAAAAGGGGGCCAGGGCCAGCGGGTAAGAATGGTGCCTGGCCCAGGTAGTCCTTCTTCAGGAAGGCTTCATGCAGCAGGTCCTCCAGCAGCGGGTGGTGGTTGAGGAGCTTCAGCGTGGGCGCTGTGCTCACGAAGCGAGCCTCTGCCTCCCGCTCCGCTGGCGTGGGCAGTGCCGTTGGTTCCCCCTCAGCCTCAGCGCTCTCCCCTGTTTTCCTTGCCAGCCCATTGTAGCCTGGGGGGAGAAGAAAGAGTGTGGAGTGCTGGGGACCCATGGACTGATGCTGCATTGTTCATTCTGGACCAGTGACATGCCATGGACCAGGGACTGGTGATGCATCAGCGACCGAAGGTTCACCACAGACCAGTACTGTGCCTGCTGTGGCACCCAGGACCAACCCTTGGATGTGGACTGGTGCTGGGCCAGGGGTGGATGCAGCACTGGGGACTGACACCACACCCAGGACCAATACTGGTGTGGTGCCACAGGCCTGTGCTGCACTGGGGAGCAACACGTCACCGTGGACCAGTGCTTCCTCACAGGCCAGCACCGCCCCGAGGACTGACGCTGCCCTGCGCACCAATACTGCACCAACCCTGGGCCGGCAAACAAGTGCATCAACCGTGTGCGGTGGGGCCCTGCCACACCTCGCTCCAGCTCCCCCCAGGCACAGCCCTGACATTTAATTAATTAATGCACAGCTGCAGCTTGTACCATGTTAAGGGGTACCCACCCCTCCAGTGACCCAGCCCTGGTGGGGACAGCCCTGGGGCTGGGTGTCCCTTGTCACAGCTTGTCCCTCTTCATGGAGGGGGCCGTCCTGTGCCGAGGGTCCCCCGGTCCCCTGCATCCCTGTGGTGCAGACACGCAGGTGACTGCCACGTCAGCCGTGACCAGCTGCACCGGGGCTGCCACCGGAGCCTGAACACCAGGACCCTGCTCCAGGCCACCAGTGTAATGAGGTGGTGAGAGCTCATCTTCTCCCCAACCACCCCCCAGCCAAGCTGTTCCTGGGCAGTGTCAATCCACCAGGAACCTCCTCCCTGCTGATGCTACCCACCTCCCACCCGCAGCCACAGCCCCCCACCCTCCCATGCATTAGCCCCTGAGCAAATCCCCGGTGTGCCCAGCCTAGCTGTTTACAGCCTTTAGACCAAAACCAAAAGTATTTAATCAGCTCTAATGAGCCATGTGTCCCTGCCGGATCCAGCACTGCACGGTTCCCCCTCCCGGGGGGGCACAGCTCCCCAGTCCCGCTGTACCACGGCAAGGAGGATGCCACGGTGGCCCCCAGCATCCCTCCATGGCCCGGTGCAGGGTGTGAGGCCGTGATAGCGTGTGGGCATGTCTCGCCGCCGTGCACAAGCGCTGATGACACGATACTGCCAATTACCGGGTAATTATACCGATCCGTAGCAGGGCAGGCCCCCGCGAAGATTAATTACTCTGCAACTGCCACTTTTAAGGGACTATTAAGAGACATTAGCTTGGGCAAGCAGCGCAAGGGGAACTGCTAGGTGCTGGCGGGCATCCCCACTGCCCTGGCACCCACCCTGTGTCCCTGCTGCCCCGGGATGGCGATGATGCCCTGGGCACAGCCGCATGCCAGGGAGGCGAGCACCCAGCCGCACCAGCTCCGAAAGGTTCACTTGCCCCCCAGCAAGGCTAGAATTATTTTTTAATAGGATCCATTTATTTGAACATAAAAGTTAATGAGTTTATACTGAAGGGCGCCAAAATCTCTTTTAGGCTTTAATAGCAGATTAGTGCTCAGGGCCGGGCCCTGCGCCGCTGTGGCTGCCCCATGCAGCGAAGACTGGGGCAGAGATGCCCACCCCGGATCCCTGCACCCCCCTGCCCATGGGATCTCAGCTGCCCAGGGTGCTGGGGAGCACAGTGGTCCCCACACTGGGGCTGATGGATGAGGGCAGACCCCCACAGCAAGGCTCCTACAGCAGGTCCCATCTGGGTGCTGTGGCATCCTGAGCTGGGCAGTGCCTCCTGGGTACTGGGAGCACCAGGAGATGCTCTGGGTACCACGGGATGTTGCCAGCACCAGAGGATGGTCAGGACTGGGGATGCTCTTGGCCCTTGGGGGATGGAGGATGCTCAGGACACTGTGGGAAGGCAGCAAGTGCCCAGATGTTACCACTCATGCCCCTCGAGCATCACAGGATTAGAGTCTCCACCTCCACAGTTGGCTCTAAAGCAGCTTATCTCCAGTGACCGTGTCACAGCTGTGTCCCTCCTGTGTCCCCAAGGTGACCTGGGGGGTCTCAGGGACCCCTGCTATGCAGTACCCACCCCTCCAGGCGCTGGCACCCAGCAGGGACCCCCACAGGGCTCAGGGTGGGCACAGATCCTTGCAAAAGGGCCATTAAGTCCCCACTATCCGGGCGCCCACAGGAGTCCCTTGGTGTGCATGATATATCTCTACAGCTGCAGCTGGGCGGGGGTCCTAATCCCTCACACCAGCTTTGCTGGGCGGGAGTCTATTAACAACAGCCAGGAGCCGGGGAGATGCTGGAGACTAATCTGGCTGTGGCGGGCAGCTGT